CTCTTTAATACCCATCACCAGGCTAACCCATCCCCCCACCCCCCTCCCCGCTACTTACTCATTTTAAAAGGTATTCTGTTATCCTAGAACAAGCGTGGCATCATTGTACCACTTACTTCCAAGAGAAACAAGTGCCCTTTTGCCTATATTGTCTTTTCTCTCACTGGCTTTCTTTCATAAATGCTGTTTACAGAGACTTGCTTCCTCACATTTTAGTTTTCCTAACTGTTTGAGTCAATGGCAAATCCATAATCCTTTTTTAAATATTCTCCAGGCCATGAAAACGCATGCTATTTATACCAATTCAGCAGTTAAACTGCAGTGCGGAAAAAGCTTTGGCACCCTGAGATATAAACCTCTGGTTTAATCGTAAATTACTAGAGTGCCCTGTTCTTTTTTCTTTTAAGTGTAACTCTCCTTGACATGAATCTCCATAGAGTGTTAGGTAATAACTGATATTCCAGGAAAAAAAATGTGAAAAACAGCTAAAGGAGAAGGGGATTTACATTTTTAATCTGATCTATTAGATCATCTTTCCAAAATGAAATCTGTCTTCACTGTGGTAACCACAATTAATTCATGCCTACTCCTGTCAATAAATCTTTAGATGATGGCTTAATAGGTCTTTCAGAAATGAATCTTTTGCAAAGCTGGAGCAGGGCTTCCTATCCCAGTTCCCTGAAAGAGAATGTGCAAAAAGATTTGGTCACGTGAGCTCAAACTATCGTTCTGTCTAGTACTTAAACTTTCAGTGCTTCCAGAGCCTATTATGTGAATTATGAATGATAGTATCCATTTCCTAAGGTGCATTTAGATGTTAAATAATATATTTAAAGCACTCAGAAGAGTCCAGTATATAGTATATGCTCAATTCGAAAACTGTTACTGTTAATAGTTACAATCTTGAAACCAAAAAGAATAATGGCATCTTGGAAAAGCCTCTAGATTTATAATCTACAAATCCTAATTTAACCATGACCTGCAAAAGAGTGCTCTAAAGTAATGTAATGCTTCTTAACCTTGTCACCCTGACTGGATCAAGAGCTCCTTGGGGACAGGAATTACATTTATTATGGCTTTTGCATTTGGCAAGGTGCTTAACTTATAAGCTTGCACATAGTTAGTATTCAATAAATGTTTACAAACTGACAGATAAAATATACTAATAAATAAAAATGATCAACTGATATTCTTTTGTATTATATCCTATTTTTAAATAATCTTTATTATCACAATCTTTTTTTAATTTATTTTTTTTAAGATTTCATTTATTTATTTGACAGAGAGAGAGATAGCAAGAGCAGGAACACAAGCAGGGGGAGTGGGAGAGGGAGAAGCAGGCTTCCTGCTGAGCGGAGAGTCCGATGCGGGGCTCGATCCCAGGACTCTGGGATCATGACCTGAGCCGAAGGCAGACGCTTAAGGACTGAGCCACCCAAGCGCCCCGCAATCTTTTTTTTTTTTTTTAATAGTGTTTAGTGCAGGGCTTGTGTCAAAGAAGTTGCTGAACAGATGTTTGATGAATGAATGGTGGTAGCTAGTTTTCATTTATAGAACATGAATGCAACCATTCCAGAACACTTCTGTATTTTTCTTGTGTCCAAGTTCTGGCAGGCCTTAAATATGCCTTCTTTTTTTCTTTCCTCCAGTAATATATCATGCTATGTCTAAATTACCAGTACCGTTGATCTTCATTATTTCTGGATTCCAGATTTCCAAATTCACCTGCTTTCTGAAATTTATTTGTAACCTCAAAATCAATCCTCGCTGTGCTTTCTTAGGCATTCCCAGACAGTGCAGAGCTGCAGAACATTTGAGTTGCCTGATCTTAGATACACACTTTCCCAGCCGAGATCAAACGAGATGACACTCTGCCTCCTTATTTCAGCTATCATACTGTAAATTATCATCCTTTTCATGGTCTTTTTAATGCTCCATTTTTCTCATGTCTGTGCTTTTTGCTGCTGGGTTTGCTGTTTAAAATGCCCCCCAAGCAGAGTGCTGAAATGCTCTCTAGTGTGCTGCTGGGCTCAAGAGGTTGTGATGTGCTCTACGGGGAAAGCACACGTGTCAGATAAACTTCATTCAGCCTTGAGTTATAATGCTGCTGGCCATGAGTTCAGTGTTAGGGAATCAACGATATTAAATATTAAATACAGTGTCTTTACAAAGAAATACACATGAAACAAGGTTATGTACTGATCAATACTTATGTATTGATGAAAACGTTGCAACCATGGGGCGCCTGGGAGACTCAGTTGGTTAAGCATCTGCCTTCAGCTCGGGTCATGATCCTGGGGTCCTGGGCCGCGTCGGGCTCCCGGCTCAGTGGGGAGCCTCCTTCTCCCTCTCCCTCTTCCTGCCCCTCCGCTTGTGCTCTCTGGTTCTATCTCTCTGTCAAATAAATAAAATCTTGAAAAAAAAAAAAGAAAAGAAAACATTGCAATCAGACACTCACAGGAACCTAACCCCGTATTTCTTCTAGGAGGCTATGGTTCGGTATTTGCTAATTCAGTGTTTACGATGACTTATAGAATAAAGCTACAGCAAATAATGAGAACCAATTACTCTACTCTTAGTGGCAAACCTTTAAGTAATCAGCCTCTTCTTGAGGTTCCCAAAGTAATGTAGAAATGATAGGAATGAGCTTGCATTGCGGGTCTTACGAAGCTTTTTGTACCACCCAGTGCCTTTGGCATCATGAGATTTAATGATGGGACATCGCAAGGCCAGCTTCCAGGAGTAAGCTTTGATCAAGTTTTTACAGGGTATTTCTCAAGTTTGCCCCACTCCCACTACCTTTACCATAACCATTCACACTCTGTAACAGGCAGGGGAGCATCATTTGCAGAGATGCGATGAATACATGATTTCTGGCTGTGAAATGTCTTTCTCCCCAAGGATCTCATCAGATGTTCAGTTTGGCTCTCATTATGCAGCATTCATTCATATGCAATCATTACAGGAAAAGGACTGTTCCTAACCTTTGTGACTCCAATTTTATCCTCTCATCTTGAAATAAGACCTACCTAGCCAATGTAGAAGAGGAATTTAGGATAAAAGGAAGTGAAGAAATGATAATAATAATAATAGACATGCTATCCAAGGAGTGGGGGCAAGGAGATGAGAGATTGAGAGAGAGAGAGAAAAATGCAGATCAACATAGTGAATTTAGACCAGTGAACCTTAATACAGGTGTTCGGTAAAGCTAAATAAAATTCTCTTTGAAAAATCTCCCTTTTGAAATCTCTGTAACACTATAAAGCAAACAAAAGGAAACCTCTACCTCTAACCCTGTTCAGGATCCCTCCTACTCCATACTGATTATATTCTCCTGTGGGCATAGAGTGCTTTTTTTAATGATGGGAAGTTATAAAACAAGAAGTATTTGAGATCTGGGAATAAGCACGCACATGCGTGCACACACATGCACAGACACACACACACCAAAAATGAGCAGATTTAGAGGAAAGCTGTAAGCTAGGAATAAAGGGCTAAGTTCTAATTATCTGCAGATGGCAAACTCCTGGCTTTGTAAGACACCTGTAGAGGAGGTGAAACCCTGCAACTTGTTACTTCCACCTGCTCTGGGTTTGCACACAAGTCAAGATTAATTTCTTTATTGTGGTCTTCCGCCTCAGTACATGAGCTGAGGGGAAAATGTTGTATTGGGCTAAGAAGTATGAAGTGAAAAGTGGGTTTATATATCCCCCTCTCTGAAGTACCTCATTTGGAGGACATCATTTGGATTCCTTTGGATTCATACATTAAGAAGAGCCAGCAGCCTCTATAACAAGAATTCTAGAAAGAGAGCAGAATTCAGTTGTTATATCTGGTTTGTCTTGATTGTTTTGGGCTACTTTGACTAAAACAATAATGCACAGGAACTCTTTCTCTCAAGATGCATGTGTGTCTAGAATTCAGCTACAGTGTGTTAGGTAATTAACAGGGTGAATAGACAGACTCCTTTTACCCATAACGTCATTGGCACATTTGTCTGCTTTGAAGATGAAGTGCTCACTTGGCAGTTTGCTTTGGCAACAGAACTTTCTGAGATGGGGAAAAAAATGTTTATAGAGGTAGTCACATTTCTTATCTTTTTGTCAGCTATAGTAGTAAAATCAAGGTTTAAAATTTGTAGTCAAATATGTAACTTTATAGAATACAGTCTGAATGCCCAAATAGACACCACAAAAAATTATTTTTGCTTCTACAACTCTGTAGCAAAGGCAATCTTAGATTTAATAGTTATGTTAAAAGGAATAAGAGAATAAAGCTTCATTATAAAACACAATACTATAATAAATGTTGGAACAATTGCAATTTCCATGAAAAGAGACAACACTAGTATTTCCTTACCAAATATGTGGCCAATCGTGTGTAATTAATGCAATTATTGCAGCAAGAAGAAATAACAGTTTGACTTCTAGGAAGTTTTAATTGACAGTATTATAATATTTGTGCAGTGTACATCCACTACAGGGATGAAAGCTTTTATAATTGTGTGCTGAAAAAAGAAAGTATCGATGTAAGTTTTCCCCTTGGATGTCCTAGGGAGGGGAAAGGAGAAACAGAAAAAGCTCAGGATATAGAAGAGGAATTTGTCTAATGTGACTGAAGCATAGACTAGGTAAAGGGAAGTAGTGGATGGTAAAGCTGGAAAGGCATGTAGAACCCAAAGTACCAATATCCTTGAACATCGATGAAGGAGCTTGAACTTTATTTTAAAGGCAATGAGGAATCATTTAGAATTTTGAATAAGACAGCAATATAATCATAATTATACTAAGAATAGAGTGGATTGAATAAATGGATTGAACTGACGGTCAGAACAGTCATGAAGCTCCTGGAGTAAGGCTCAGAACTGTAATATTTCACATTTTGATTTTTCTCTAAAATCAGTTCTTGGATTTCCTGGATTTGATCGAGAATATGTCTACACATTAACATGGAGCTTTATTCCAATCTAGGGTCCATAACTCTTTTTTTTTTATTTTCAGATTTTTCATTATTCCTATACTGCTTCATATGTGATTTACAACATACACACTAGGTAAGTTCTTTGGTTTTCTGGTTTTCATGAGCAATTGTCCAACTAAATTGTTGGTGTAAATGTCAACTTGTTCATGTAAAAATATTTACCTTTTTTCAAGGGAAGTTTGGGAGTTAAATCCTCCAGAAGTAGAGGACTCCATCTTGCAGTATGCGGCCTGGGGTGTCCAAGGGCAGCAGCTGGTAAGCACAGGCATTGGTCCTCACCAAGTGCTATCAGTCACGTTCTTGTGGAAAATGTTTACAGAAGTCACTTCCTTGTCACATTAGCCTATTACACTTGATGTTTTTACCTTTACATCTTCTATCTAGTATTCCAATTTAAGAATATATTAAATAATACCAGTATCATTTTATCAATTAAAGAAGAAAAAAGAGTTTGTAGAATAATGTGTGATCAAACTGCTAGCTCATAATGAAACCTAGAAGAGATCCAAGAATACCGAGGTCTAGTTCTGTGGAATTTCCATTCCATACTGTTGTCAAGTTTACTTCTTCTTAAAGCATTGTTCAGGGTGGAAATTTAAGACAGTGGTTTACACTTGACAGTGGTCTCTTAGGGGAAGATTTCTTGTCATATTCGATTTTCAAATTATCACAGACTCAAAAGAGAATTACTGACGTATTAAAGCATTTGACCAACACCATATTCTTGTTCATGTCTCATGGTGAAAGTATAAAGACTTTAAGAGGATATTGCTCAGGAAGTGGTATTTCTTGTTTATATAGCATGTGAAAGCTCAAATATAGTATGCGCTGTTAAATTGATTTCTAAATTGCTTGAGTGTTTATACTCCTGCCAGTGACAGTGTGAGAGTTCCCTGTGTATACCATATTTTTATCAATACCAAGTTTTTCCAGACTACCGTATTATTTCTTAGTAATGCATTATTGCTTCTTCCATTCCAATTTTTATATTTTGTTTTATTAAAATGTTCTTGCAATGGATTATAGATTATAAATAGCATTTGCCTTTATCTTTGGCATATTTAAAGAAATTTTATGACAGTGTACTTAGTTTAACTATATAGGACTATCTCTGGGTCCATTCTGTTATAATATCCCTAAAAAGTGGAAGCAGAAGCTGCATAGGTTATGCTCGATATAGAGACACCAGGTTTGATTCAGAGAAGGCATGAATCAGTGTCTCCATGGACAGTGGTGAGTGGGCAGCAAGAAATGGGCAGGGGCTCTAGTCCTGCCTGTTTTAGTCTGATGCTGTCAACAAGAGAGCTAGTGTGTTAGGCCAAAGGCAAATTCCAAACACCCTAACTTCCAGAAACCAGAAACCCTAGACAACTTCATGTTTGTGTCATTGGAGAGTCCTTAGGAAACTCTTTGAAACTTTCATTTGTTTTAAATAACTCTCATTCTTCAAGCCTTAGAGGAACCTACACCTGTGCCAAAATAATAATTTGACACCCTCAAGGAAGTAGTATTAATTGCATGCATTTTCTTTAATGATTCCTACATGTTACTAATTACTTATTCTTTAATATAGTTGATAAAAAAAGACTGAAAATTTATAAAAATCATAGATTCTCTCATGGGAGTCATTTTTCGGGTGCTTAAATCCTGGGTCCATTTCTTTCTAGCCGTTGACCTTGAGAATATTACTCTCTGTCTGCCTTCCTCTCCTTATCTCTAAGATTGTGGCAGTAACAGTACTTCACCAACAATGCTACTCTCGTGTTTAATGTATAAGTATAAAGCACTTGGGATAAAATCTGGCATACAGCATTTTAGAGGTATTAATTTTTATTATTTTTTAAAAAGATTTTAAAAAATACCTTTGTCACTTGAAATTGAGCTTGTCTTGGAGTTTTAGTTTCACTAGTTGTTTGGGGAATGAAGCCTAAGTTCTTTATAATGGCATATCCCAAAATCCTTCGGGGAGGTTTTGGGATAAAGTCCGTATTTGTCAAGGTTATCTTTGGTGTACATGTAAGCATAAATTCAGTATAAATTAAAGGACGCATCTCCACAAATGCTAATGGTCCATTTCACATGAGTATGACAGACTTTGTCAATATTTGAAGTCATCAACAAACTCAGCAATATGATTTTATTAGAGATGAGTCATTACAATACTTTAATTAGTTTTGCATTAAATTAATTAAAGAGTCCTATAGTGTTTATAAACTAAAGACAATTCATTTCTCATCCTTAATTCTCAGTTTCTTTTTTTTTTTTTAAAGATTTTATTTATTTATTTGAGAGAAAGAGAGAATGAGAGATAGAGAGTACGAGAGGGAAGAAGGTCAGAGGGAGAGGCAGACTCCCTGCCAAGCGGGGAGCCCGATGCGGGACTCGATCCTGGGACTCCAGGATCATGACCTGAGCCGAAGGCAGTCGCTTAACCAACTGAGCCACCCAGGCGCCCCTTTAATTCTCAGTTTCTAATTTTATTTGCTATAAAAGAAATCCCTGGCTATACAGGAGAGAGGTAAGAAATTCACATAATTTATAGATAAGAGGGTCTGAATTAGAACTCACAGGGAGAATTTTGCAGTAACAGTAGACACGGGAGAAGTCAATTTGAATGTGGCAAACTTTGTGGGGAAAAAACAAACAAGACTCTGATACAGTATGATATGCATTATTTAGAGCAAGCGGTGAGTAGACCACTTTATTTGTAGGAAATGTTTTTTAAAAAGAAATGGTAGGTCCTAAAATAGGAAAAAATATCTTAATCATTTGACTGGAAAGGCCTCTGGTTTAAGAGGTTATGTCCTTTTTCTTTTCAAAAATAACTTTGTCTTATAAAAGTTAAAATCACTCATTGAAGGACATTTTCAAAATTTGCATAAGTATATGAATTCATAGAAATTCATATGTAACAAATAAAATATACTTATCTATAATTCTACCACAAGAATTTATAAAGACTTTGAAAATCAGATGAACAGGTTTGAGCTTGAGCAGGGAAAAACATTTCACCAATTAGAACTTAAAATCTAGGGGCGCCTGGGTGGCTCGGTCAGTTGAGCGTCTGCCTTCGGCTGGAGTCGTGGTCTCGGGGTCTTGGGATCGAGTCCCGCGTTGGGCTCCCTGCTCCGCGGGGAGCCTGCTTCTCCTCACTCTCCATCTGTGCTCTCCCTCTCTCTCTCAAGATACATGGAATCTTTAAAAAAAAAAAAGAGAGAGAGAGAGAACTTGAAATCTAGAATTCAAAAAGCCTCAGCTCAAGCCGAGATTCCTTTTGCATTTTGTGACATAAGGAAGATTGCCAGTTCTAAGGTTGAGCTTACTTATTATATTAAAAATGACAGAAAATCACAACCACTCACAGTTTTGTCTGAAGTTTAAGTAAGATAGGGCATGTGCCCAAGTCAAGATTCTCCAGAAAACAGAACCAATAGTGTGTACACACACACACACACACACACACACACACACACACATATGTATATGGACGTATGGATTCTCTCTAAAGGGAAAGAGGGTAAGAAAGAGTTTTTATTTTATTTATTCATTTGTTTTTTTAAAGATGTTATTTATTTATTTGAGAGAAAAAGAACACGAGCCAGGTGAGGAGGAGGAGAGGGAGAGAGAGAAGCAGACCCCCCCTCCCCGACACCAAGCACCGAGCCGGATGCGGGGCTTGATCCCAGGACCCCGGGATCATGACCCAAGCCGAAGGCAGACGCTTAACAGACTGAGCCACATGAGGTTATGGGGCAGACTGGTAGGCTGGAAACTCAGATAAGAGTTAATTTTATAATCTTGAGCTACAGTCCTGGGGCAGAAATCCTTGAGGAAACCTGTTTTTGCTGGTAAAGCCTTCCACTGATTGGATAAGGACCCCTCACCTTATTCTTTTCTAAAAATCAGCTAATTGTAAATGTTAATCACATCTACAAACTGCTTTCATAAAACATGTTTGACCAAGCAGTTGGACACCATAACGCAGCCAAGTTAGCACCTAAGATTAGCCATCACGACATAGTAACTGCTTAATGAATGGTACCTATCAATTTGACTTGCACTTGTCCTTTCCTAAGGTAACACACTGTAATTCAGTTCTGTCATCTTTCACCTAAATATCCCTTCTTCACTCGCTTGCCACCCAGCATCTGCAGAGGTCTGTGTTAAAAATGCAGATTCTGAACAGCTCCCATAGGTTATATAATGCCATTGATGTGACACACGAGATGGAGCTAAGGTGACACGTTATCTGGCTCCTGCCACTCCACTGCAGAGCCGAAGCACAGATTGTTCTCTACGTGGACCAAACTCTTTGCAATTTCCAGAGGGTAACATATTGCTCCTTCATGCCCCTGCATCATTCCCCTTTGTGTACCAGGTCATTGTTTTCTTTCCATCCGAAGTCTTTGTCCAAAGACTAAAATACAAAATGCTAAAATACTCCTCTTTGATAATTTTTCTCCAATATTTCTACAGGCTAAGCGAATTACTTACGTCTCAGGATTTGAACATTCTTCTATTTTATCTCAAATTATTTCATATTTTATTTATTTACATTGCTGTCTTCTACAGCTGACCTATGGTCATTTCCAGAGCAGATGGAATACAGAATATGCTAAACATATGCCTTCTTCCTTCTCTCTCTCTCTGTCTCTCTGTCTGTCTTTCCCTCCTCTTCCTCCTTCTTTTGTAAAACTCAATTTTAGCACAAGGCAAAATGTAAGTTTAATAAATATCTGGTTGCGGGCGCCTGGGTGGCTCAGTTGGTTAAGCGACTGCCTTCGGCTCAGGTCATGATCCCGGAGTCCTGGGATCGAGTCCCACATCGGGCTCCCGGCTCAGCGGGGAGCCTGCTTCTCCCTCTGACCCTTTCCCCTCTCATGCTGTTTCTCTCTCTCTCTCTTTCTCTCAAATAAATAAATAAAATCTTTTAAAAAATAAATAAATAAATATCTGGTTGCATTGAGCAATTAAGGAAAGGCTGACGGCTGTTTGCATGCCTGATCAGATACCACAGAGGGTTTTGAGGATGGCGTGATGTGAAGAGAAGTCCTGCATGAAAGGACAGGTTTGGTGTTAGAGTTCATGTTAGACTGTAAGCAATTGAGTTTCCAGGCAAAGAGCTAGGTTTAGAGGCTATTATTATAATCTGGAACTGAATTATAAATAACAAGTTTAAGAGATAAATACATCAACTGTTAAACCGAGATGTAAAATTTGATCACAGTCCAGCAACAAAAATGTCTTATACTCAT